TGTGTGTGTGTTTTCATGTGCGTGTTTGTGTCTGGCATGTATCCAGGTGGTAGAAGAGACAGTGGGGAGGGTTTAATGGTCACGCAGGATGCTCTAGTGTAGATGAAGGAACAGCAACAACCTGCAGCACACCTCTCATACAACACACAGAATATATTTTTCATCCTGGTTAGAATAGTTTCTGAGAATAGACTGTTCATCTAAAGACAAGAACTTCTTGAAATGTATTCAGAACAGCAGTAGAAACTGATAAATGACCTTGTGAGGTTAAATCATAGCAGAATATCCAGAAACTCTGCTCCTTTTCTGGCATCAGTGTGATACATGAGAGGAACAAACGGGGGCTAAGGCAGGAAGAATGTCTGTAGTCATCATCCATCATTTTTAGAGATGCGTTTTTTTTCCACATATTTATTTGGCAGCTGTAGTTGCTAGTCGCTCTCTTAACCATATGCAACAATGTGATAACTGTTAAATGTGATGACACAGCACCCGACAGAGTGTATTTTACATGATAAGCTCTTTTCATACTCTGCTAGTGGGGCTTATGCCCTTAAGTAAAACTGACTGCATGACTATGCAATTACTTTAGTCAAGGTTTTGGTAGCTCCTTTAATCGCTGATCATGTTTTATGCACATGTAGATTTGCAGCAGTTGGCCTCTTTCATCACTATTATGCAAATTTCTTTAGCTCTGGTTCATTTACTCCAGAAATGGAAGAACAGGTTTATCTAAATATCAGTTAATTAAATCATAAAATGTTAATGTGCTGTGTTTTTTGGGTGGAGGGTACCTTCACAATACTGGACACACGATATTATGCACTTAAAATGGGCAGTAATAGTAAAATGAATTATGTATTGTATTTACAATTGTTTTGACAAATGCAGCCCCACAGACATTAGATAGATAGAAAAAGTATTTAAAAAAAAACAAGAAATAAGTGTAAAAATAAGAATGTATATATATTATCTATAGGTATATCGAGTAACGTGTGCCAGGAATACATTATATACATAGTGTATACATAATAAGTAAATGTGCATAGTGTAACGGTGTACAATGCCAATGAGCATTATGTGCAAAGGTTAAAAAAAGGTAAAAACAACAGTTTGGGTAGAGGTTCTGTTCTGATAAAGGGACAGCTACCATTCACCACGGCTGACAGAGACGCAGACAAAGCCAGTGAGAACATTCATTATATACATGTATGAATTCTCCTCGCCACAATAATTTAATATGGCACCAGTAAGGTGTGGGTTACAGTAACACAAACTCATATTTACAAGAAAGTGTCAAAGGTGAAAGTTAAACCAAATAGCATGAGGGAGTAATTAACTATTTGTGCACCAGCTGAGATGCTCTACTGTACTAAAAGGCCTTAATACAGTGTCGCTGGGTGAAGACGTGTACACCTCGTTGTTTCCACCTACAGGGCTACAACAATAGCAGGTAACTGATATGTGCCTGCAGTGATGTACACTACATGGTGTTTTGTGTGAGTGGGTCTCTAATGTTTGCAGTGTGTTTACTTGCATGCTGGACACTTGACACCTGCCAAAGTGGACAAACCTGTTCCCATCATCTGTGTGTGTGTATACTGGTACCAGCAGTGTGAGTAGTGGTTTGAATTTTAAATCATGAGGACATTTTGACTAGTCCTGACTTTCTCAAACCCCTTCAAAGGGCTCTTTAAGGGTCAAGACTTGGTTTTAGGGTTAAGTGTTAGGAATAGGTTTAGGTTGGTGCTTGGGGTATTTAGTTGTGATGATGGAAGTTAGGGTTAAGAGGGAATGGTTTATGTCAATGAATGTCTTCACAAAGATAGGTATACAAACTGTGTGTCTGTTTGTGCATAGATGTGTGTTTGGGTGAGGACAGTGGTGCAGGGGTCCCTAGCCGGAGGAGTTGCTTTTTGATGTTTAGACAGATGCTAACTCTGGGCATGTGTGTGTGTGCTGTTACGTGCAATGTTGCAATGTTGAAATGAACAACACGTGTGCAACAGACTGACACAATGGTGATAGATAAAACAAAAGACAGACCAACAGTAGTGCAGGGACATCTGGTTCTGTGAATTTATTCTGTAAATGACCACCCTGCTCATGAAAATCCCAGATCAGTTTCATTATTTCATTGTTAGAGATATCATCCAGGAGAGATAATTCTGTGGTCTTGTGCCAATTAATGGACCTTTACTACTCTGGCTGTAAGAAACATTGATAAACATACAAGAACACACTGTATATAGTAGATGAGAGAGAAATGCAAGACAAAGTGTGTGTGTTCTTGTACTTGTTACACAGTGCAGGACCAAAAAAAGATTCTTTTTGCTACAGAGTGAGGACATTTTGACCGGTCCTCACTTTCTGAAACAGCTTTCTGAGGGTTAAGACTTGGTTTTAGGGTTCAGGTTAGAATTAGGTTTAGTGTTAGGGCTGTGGCTTGCATTTTGTTCTGATAGTTAAGGTAATGAGCCAGGGAACGTATCATGTCAGTGAGCATCCACACAAAGACAGAAGTATGTGTATGTGTGTGCAAGCTAGTCCATGTCTACTAGCAAGGAATCTGATGGGAAATAAAACAAGAAAGAGAAAAATAATCCACTGTATTAAGCATTACAGTATGACATCATCACCTCATGATACAGATTCCATCTCCTGCCTACACAGAGCATTATATGTGTGTCCAGTAGTATGCATACAGTATGTGATACCTCGAGTAGATGTGTGTGAGTGTGTGCACACTGCATGTGAACAAACATGAGCGAAGCAGCAATCTGCGGTCTAATGAGAATTTTTGCCCATGGTGACCTGTTGTTTTTACACAGCAACACGAGCCTTTTGAAAAGAGCCTCTCCGGCTGTCTGCAATGAGAACATGCATACATTTTTTGGACATCAGCTATGATGAAGAGTCCTGTTTGTTTAACACAGCATCTCTAGTTCCTCTACTTTTACACCATTACTGCTCTTGAACCTGACAGTTCTCATCCATCTTGCTGGCCCATGCCACTCTCACTTCATGTCAACTGTAAAGATTTTAAACTTTTACTGCCAACCTGTTGACATTCATGCTCATGTGCACAGTAGCGTCAGTCCCATCTTGTGGCTGGCAGGAAAAGGCAAAGAATTACACATTGCATAAGCCTTGACAATGCTCTCTTCGTGACCTCATGCCAGTTGTAACTAACCATCTCCGTATGACCCCACAGAAGAATCCCATCCCGTTGCAGTGGTGAGCTTGGACTACTGAGCACAGAAGACAAAGAGCTTCATTGTGAGGTCTGTAATTTACTCGGCTATAAAAACTGGTCAGGGCAAACTTTCCATGTTCCATAATTACCTAAGAGTCAGATAAGTGTTGATTTTTCAGTTATCAGTTATTTGCAAATGGCACATCTTGATGGGAGAGTTGTCGACTCAGCCCCGAAGCTGATATGCCTTTAGAGATGGGTGTAGCTTTGTGTAAACATAGGCTTTTTTACACCATAAATTAATACAAGCATTATCTGAAACAACTGGAGAATTACTGACTCGTTAGCAGTGGACTGATGGAGCTGGCATCGAAGTTACTCTGCCCTCGTTTTGAAAAGTCTGACCACACAGAATGACGCCAAGCCCCTACCATTCATCAGATTCCTGCAGGGAAAACAGCGAAACATTACAAACTAGACAGGCTGTGTGCTCAATAACAGGGTGTAAAACACATTGCAATAATTTTCACAGCTATTGGAAACGGGTGAAATTATTATTTAGGGGTGAACTTTCATGTTGGCCACCTTTAACGGGCAGAGAGGCAGAATGATCTGCAGCACTCAAGCTCTCTCTGACTAAATGAAATCATGTTTGACAAGGAAGGTAGAACTTCTCACAAAGACTTTTTTGTTCTAGATGTAGACGTCATCCACGTGGCCTCCAAGAGGTGAAGTGTTTTCAACTGAACCTTTATTATCAGCAAATCCAAACTGACCTCCCAGTGCTGCTCATTCTGTTTTGGGCCAAAACAGCTTTAAAAGAGGAGCATTCCCAGGTGAATAAGAACAGGATAAAACACAAATAGAAGAGCCATGGGTTATACAAATGCAGTGACTAAAGTGACTACAACAGACCTGAGACATTAATGAAGCTGCAAAAAAAGAGCTGAGTAGCAAACCAGTATGTAAAGTAACACTGGTGTAAAGCAAATAGTCAGAGAACTGGTGACAAATATGCAAAAGGGAGTGTGAGTGAAATATGCACAAACCCTGCTCATATTTATTGCTCTACATTCCCTCCCTCATTACTCATTACTCTTCTCCTTACCACATTCAGAACTTGATCATGCCTTTCCCCCCCCCCCCTTTATCTTTTTAATTTCCCTTTGTCTCCCTCACCATCTGTGCCCTCTGCCATTTGCTGTCTGTTCTCCTTTTCAGTGTGTCTGCCATGTGAGGAAAGAGACTTTTCAACTTCTGTCCTAATGACTTTTTATAGACCCCCCCCCACACACACACACACACAAACCTCTAGACAATTTTTTCATGCCTAAAAGCCCACACGCTGACAGAATGCCTTTCCACTTATCTTAATCCTACCCTAAACCCAATTCTAACCTTAAACCTAAAAGTTAATCTCAAGCCTCTAATAGCTTTAGAAGGTGTGAGGCCTGGCCAACATGTGCTCACAGTGGTTTCTAACTAGAACTGGTCCACAAGACATGCACACACACACACACGCACACACACACACACACCTTTTGTGTTCGTATTAAATCCCAAACCACACCCAGCTTCAGCTTTCTGGGGCCAGTGATCGTGCGCTGCCAGCCTTGGCTTTGCCGCCGCTCTCCTGCTGTAGTCAGCTCTCCTGCTGCCGTTTTGTCACTTTGGGACCTTGTTTTCTTGCGACAGCTACTTTCCTGCTTTAGTATCCCATAAGTTTCCTCTTCACACAGACACAGTCACGTCTGGATCCACAGCCTCCTTCTCGGTCCAAACTCGGTGAGTAAACTTAGTATTTTCCGTTTGGATATTGTTTTTATATGGGATTCAAAGCCAGTGAGGCAGTGAAAAGTGTATTTAATATAATACTGATACCCTCATAATAGACTTTAAGTGGTTTTATGGTGCGTTGTTTTTATTTTTTTTTTGTGTTTATTTTATGTTAGCGAGCAGGAACATTCTTGAAATAGTCCGTGACCTCTGGATACAAACTTAGGACCTTTTATTAGATGGTTTATAGAATACTTTGTTTGCGCTCTTGCTGCCGTGCCCCTGTGCGTATTTGTACACTGATCATAACTTCTTCGGACGTTGGGAATGAAAGGGGCGTTGTCAGCCACACTGACCGTGTGTGTCCGTGTGTGTCCGTGTGTGTTACTGACACTTTCGTGAGTGCAGTGGATAAGTGTTAGTGCGTTACGAGGCAACGCGTAACGGTTATTTTTTTCCAGTGGACTGAGGGAAAGTTTCCGTTTCCTCATATCTTCTATACTCCCCATTAGACGTTTAGCTGAACTTAACGTGCCCTGATCCATATGCTAACATTTAATTCAAATCATATTCCCGTGGACTCTTGCCTTGATATCGCTTTCTAGAACATTTCTGGAAAATTGCTTGTTTGCGCAGTCTGTTCATTTTGGATTCGTTTCATGATGCGCTATTAAACCTAAACAGAATCAGATCGTCGGTGTAAATCAGGTAAGACTGAATACCTTGACCCCGATCTTGCATTGTGGACTGAGTTTAGGTTTTTAGTTTTGATGAGACTTTTGATTACAGTCTGATACAGTCCGCCTCCATTGGCGACGCCCGCGCGTGGCTGAAAGCAACAAAAACAGGTTTTCAAGAAGATTTTTTCAGATTGAGCTACAGAGGCGGAGAGTCATCCTCATCAGACAATGTTTGGATGGAATTTGAGGGAGAATGAAGTCTGTGGAAACCCATGGAGAGATTAAATGTCATGGAACAGGAAGACTTGGTTACAAACACACAACAAACCACATTCCTTTGAACATGCTGTAGGAAACTGGTGCTGAACTGAAAATGCAACCTGCTCCAACTTAACACAGCTGTCACACATGTTGTTTTTCTGATGCCTAGGAGAAACTTTGTATAAACTAGAAATGAAAACCTAGCATTACATCAAGTGTTAAAAGAAAAGAGTGACACAAATGCTTTATAAAATGGAACTGTCCGCTGTCACATCGCTGTCACAAGTGATGTTAGGCATGAAGGGAACTGAATGAATGGATGGATGAATGAACAGCTGTGTGAGTAAATGAATGAAAGTATAAACTTGTAGCTTTTTACTGTTCATTCAAATATAATAATAGCCATGACAGGAAATAGGCTTGGCGGTGCAGCGGATGCTGCATTATACTTTTAGACAGGTCCTACTGTAGGAAGGTAATTTACAGTGATGATAGCATCTGAATCTCAGAAGAGTGATGAAGCAAGAACTAGCGAGTACCTCGAGTGTGTTTCATCCAGTTGCCTTGCTACTTGTACTGCTTTTGTATATTAATTTGAAGGTATTATCAGTCATGCTGAATGCAGCAGGAGAGAGGTGACTGATATTCAATAGGAGGAGGATTAGTTGGGGGATTAGTGCGATTTAAAATGTGCTGACAGAAAAAAACAAACAAGTTTGAGGTGACAGAGTGGAATGGGGGTGATAAACAGATGAAGCTGGAGGTGTCTGTCAGGTGTTCTCCACTCGCTCTGCTGTGTCAGACACACACACACACACACACACACACACACACACACAACCCTAAAAACCATGTCAGTGTCCAACATAAACGGATTATTTGTCAGAGGGAAGTCTAAACCCAGCAGGAAAACAGTTGTGTGTCTGTGTGTGCATTTATCCATGTTTTTAGGCTCCAGATTCCTGAATGAGGCATGTACACACACACCTGCTTTGGCAACAGAACAGTGTGTGCCGGGTGAACTCTCCCTTCTCTCCTGGGTTTCAGCAAAACTCGACACAAATACAATATTTGATGTCCAGTCCTCAGGGCTTCTGGTCTTTTTGTGTATGAAGGCAGAGGCGCAGAGTTTGGGGTTATGGTAAAAGATCAAGGAAATGTCAAGTTATTTGGTTTGTGTTGGTAATAAAACAGTCTCATGACCTTTACCAAGAATTCAGCTGGTAACAACAGTGTTGTTGTCAGTTTGAGCTGTGAATACATCATTTGTTTCCATCGTAGTCAAACCTCCGTATGTGGAATTTCGGTTTAACTTGCACCTGTAGCCACTATGTGTAAGTTTGTGGTTGTAAATGTCATGTTTTCTTCAAATGGATACTCTAGCTGTCCAATTCAGTTTTTTACAGAAACAATAACTGACTTTATTTTAATTAGAGTCCAGATAAATAAAGTGATAATGGTTTGGACTGTGATCTGAACTGGAATAGTCAACTTCAGTTGCTGCACTGTGTATTTCCTCAGCTGCTCTCACTGGCTGCGATGTTATGGGAACAAATCCTTGTTGAGGTTTTTACCTCAGTCCAGTCATCACGCAAACTGTACAACGATAGCATGATAAAGTCAGCATCAAGTCACAGCTGTGATATTAAACTGCAGAACCTCACAAACACAAACTATCATGCATTTGAGCTTGATATCGGTTGTGTCTATGAAATTCAGTCAGAGGAAAGCTGTGGTGACACCCGCGGGCCAGACTGTCAGTGGTACCGACAGCATGTTTTGTCCAGTTTTGCTTCTCGTCTCACACCCAGCCAGAGCGTAACTGCAGCCATGGTTCTTGTCTATAAAAGCCCTCCTGTAATTCTATAGTGTAAAGGATTATAGCTTTCACACTGGGAAATCTTTATTTATAATTCTATACTTGCTTCACAGCCTATTAGATGACTACTCTTACCTGCCAAAAGCAAACTCTCTCATTTGTGCACGTGTGTGTGTCTACAGGGCTTCGAGGGCTTTATTTAAACAAAGCTTTGCTTGGTCACTGGCTTCATTCCAGGGTAGATGTGCCTTTTCTTTTCGTTTTTCTAAAAATAAGCCTTAGCTTGACTATTGTTAGTGTATACACAAACTGCCTCGCACACACATCCTTATGTGTGCACAGTCCCCCCCTCCCCTTAAACTTAAACATCACATCTAAATGTCTAACCTAACAAATTAGTGTAATGCCTAAAGAGGATTCATTCTTGACCTCTCTTGAGCCTTAATTTAAAGACCCCCTTCACTCAAAAATGTGTTTTTCTTATTTTTATACCCCATAAATATCAGCCCTCCACTGTTCTGGCTGGTGTAACATTCCTCTGCTGATGGGAGCAGGTGTCTGAGTTTTAAACATACACAGACAGATAGAATCCACACAAACCTTACAGCCAGTCATGGTCCACCACACAAATATTTGAAGATTTCAGGGGTGAGGAGTGAAACCAAGTATTTCAAAATGAAGGTTTGGAAGGCAGGAAATGTTGCGTTTCAGTGTCAACTACACGACCTCATAAGGGCCCAGAGGGATCTGCTGGAAGCATTCTCGCCTCTTCTTTTCCACAAGCAGTTTTTCCATTGCCAAAAGCTGAAAAAGAGAGGGCTACGGCTACAGAGAGAGTGGGACAGTGAGAGAGATGGGGGAGTGAGACGCAGAGGCCAAGTTCACTCTGTGGCTTTGTATTTTATTTAAAAAGTAAAAAAAAAAGAAAAGATTAAAAGTCAGCATTTTCCACCAGGCAATGGAATCAGTCGGGACACACACACACACACATACACTTGCACTGAGCCCCCAGCCTCAGGAGGAATTGCAGCATTTGTGCCATTTGTCCTCGCCAGTCATTTGATAGTGTGTGTGCATTTGTGTTTGTCATGTGAGCCTGTATGATTACACAAGACGACAGTATTGTTATGTAGCTTTTGTATTTCTACCCTGTTAACCATGTATCATAGATTCCTAAAGTCTAAACCAAAGGAGAACTGTCTCATTGAGTACCAACACAACACAGCATGATATGCTTACAACAAAAGGACACAGCTTGTGGCGCAACACTGCTTCTTGTTTGGCTTGTTTACTTTTTTCCTACAAAGTAGAAGCTCTCCTTTGCAATCTTTATGTGTCCAGTGGCTTTCACACAGAAAAATAATCTGAAACTCAGGTCTGTGCAGCTTTTGTATATTTCATTCTCTTTTCTTTTCATATGAGCGCTGTGTGGCCTTGTTTATATATACTTGCGGGGACTGGAAGTCACATGTGTCGGCTTTGGTTAAGGTTAGGATAAGTCCTGGAAATGAATGTGAGTCTATGTATCACTGCAGGGGCCGTGTGTGTGTGTGTATTGTTGTATTGTATAGTACTGTTATTTTTGTTCAATTAAATCAAAATAATAGAGAAAGGATTTAGTTATTCATTCATACATACAGTTTGCTCCTACAAAGTTTACTTTCATTTTTTAATGAGAAAGCTAGAGAAGGCGTGCAACGACAATAGTGTGTATACATGCTGAATGTGGTGAATTAAATAGTTCTCGCCTTTGTTTGCGTGTTCATTTTGTCCTCTTCTTTCTCTGCTGTCATTGTTCACTGAGGTCAAACCTGAAGTCTGATTGGCCGCCGGTGAGACTGTGATATATTATAAATGACCAGGGTGTACTCTGTCTCTCGCCCAGTGTCAGCTGGGATAGGCTACAGTGTCATATGTAAAAACATGGTATATGAACCACCATATACATTTAGTATAACCATGCCCCCATAGACTGGCACTGATGCATGTTGATTATGTTAAGACCATTTCATATTTACACCAGATCAGTTTCATTTCCACCAGTGTCACACTCATGTATAGCTTTGTCAAGTTTTGCCCCCCCCCCCCCTTTTCAAACGGGGGGGGCTGATTTCTCGGACCAC